CCTCCCTGTGCCTAGAAACTCAGCCTGCAGTGTCCTCTATAGTTACTATTAAAGCAGAAGCATGTCCTCGAGTCTGTCGTCATGGAAATACTGTACCCACAATAAACTCTGTTATTACAGTTTCTACTGAGCCTGCCCTGATGTCAGCCGCCCCATGTTCTATTTTCCTAAACTCTTCCTCCAACAACTAGTTTGCAAATATATTGTTGTATTGTTTCAGCTTGTCTTCGCACTAGTTTTTCACCACAAGCCTGATGGTAAAGTTTTCTTCTGTTCCCTTACATCTAATATGAAGAGTAGCATTTCTCACTTGCAAACCCTTTTGGAAACTTGAAAGACCCACCCAAACTTCTCAGAGTGAAACTGACTGCTTCTTTATGTCGACCTAAATGACTAACCTATATTTATGTCAGGCTTCTTGGTTCATATCTCTGGAGTTTAGATGTCAGTCTTAATTTAGAAGAGAAAACCTGCAAAAACCTTTTGCTTTGTTTTGTTGTGTTGTGCTGTTTTGTTTTGGTGCTGAAGATTAGACCTGAGCCTTGTGCATGCTAAGCACATGCTCTACTACTGAGCTACACCCCAGACCCAAAGTGTGTTCATTTGTGTATTTATTTAATATGCTTATGGCTATTTCAGAAATCTAAATTTTGGAGAAATGGCAAATGAAAGAGAGAGACTTTCCTTGTGTCTTTGATGAACTATTCTAGAAGCAAAGGGCCAAACCACGAGGATGACAACTGCGACAAGTTGTCAGGGGTTGGGTCCTAATACAGAAGACTCCCAAAGACACAGCAAATGGCTCTCATCTACTGCAAAAATTCTATCAGCCTTCAGAAAAGAAGCTTCCAGACTCACACACATCTGCTGAATATCACCTGAGGGAAATCTCACAAGGGCCTGGGCTTTGCTCTCTCTTCCACCATGATGTATCCCCAGCCACTAGAACAGGGAGACACTCACCTTGCTGGACAGTGGCCGCTTTGCTGACTGACTTTCGACCCTCAGCATGCAGCAGCTGGCTTTGTCCAGTGATGGGAATAAAGAAAGACAGTGCACTGTCTTCTTTCATACAATCGGACTAATCCACGAGTGACAGCATCATGTTAGTCTCTGGGTGTGGCCTCTTCAGGCAAAAGAATATAAAAGAAGGCAGAATCTTATCAACTCCTGAGTTCTTTGGAGTTCCTTGGAAAATAATTGGGATATCTTAAGAGCCAAATAACTACTGAATCTAACCGTGTGGCACATGGTCTGAACAGGAGCTGCTGACTTCCATGTGGATGGAAATATAGGTCATGATGTGACTCAAGCCCAGGGATGTGAGCTGTGTGACCACTGCTTCTTCAGGTTCAGTTCTTCACTATTCAGTACAACGAGAGCTCAGTGTGTATCAGTCAGGGTCACAGACATGAATACTGCCAACTTCCCACCATTATGGTTGTCGGCCAACTATGAAGGAATCCCCCAAATCCTGTCCAGTGATGTGAAGGTTTTCTCTGTCTGTTAGTATCTCTCAAGGGAGGGGATGTTGCTGTTCTCTTGGGAGTCATATTTGGCCCCAAAATTTCTGGGAATGAATTTTGGCATTTTAAAATTAATATTTGTATTAATATTCTGTGTTGAGGAATCTGTTGATACTTGACTTTTTCAGTGCTAGGGATTGAATTCAAGTCCTCATGCATGCTGGTTAAGTGCTCTGCTCTCAGCCCAGATGCTTGACTTTTTCAGACTTGTCATATTTAAAGGCATTTGGCCTAGTAAAGTAAGCAACAGACTTATTGCTCCAATTTAAATCATATAAAGCTGGCCTATCATATCTGCTGGTTTTGTGGCCATAGATTCAGCCAATGGCATATCAAAAATATTCCCTCAAATTCCAAATGTCTAAAACTTGAATCTACCATGTGTCAAGCACCATGCTGAGTCCATGAATGAAGTGAGAAGTAGGTACCTGCTCTCACCCCTCCATACCACAAAGCCCCAGGCTGCCTCGAGCATCCTCATATGAACATCTTTTACCTCACACTTGATAAGTAATCTAGAGATATTGTGAAGTATACAGGAAGATATATGCAGGTTATATGCAAATGCAGTCAAACCTTGGACTGCAAGTAACTTGTTCTGTGCATATTCCACAGACAAACAAACATTTCTAATAAGTTTTAAGTAGATTAATGAGCAATGTCTTGTACTATGAGCAAACATGATGCCAAATGTCATATGATCACAAATGAGCTAATGATTCTTCCCACTCTCTCTGCAGAATTGTGGCTGACCATCTCCCAACAGCAAGAGGTTACAGAGGACATCTCATCTGCAAAGGAGGAGGAGAAAAATGCAGAGGAATTTCTCACTTCAAATGAGACTAGGGAGATAGGTAAAATGTGGAAAACTGAAAAATTTTGTAGAAAATCACCACCCGAATAAGGCTGTAGCAGTGCAAGCAATGAATCTGTTGAACAACCATGCAATATTATATTTCCAAGAATTCCTTGAAAGAAGGCAAAAGCAAGTGTTTTTGGATAGGTTCCTTGTTCAATTTGCACAGAAAAAAAGATCCCACTGAGCCAATAGACAGCAGTGATTCCATTAGTGAAAGTCAACCTACACAATAGCCCTCCTCTCTCTTGTCTCTCTCACACCATCCACAAAAGTTTTCAAAGGTAAATGTAGACTAATTTGTTTATTTTCATATTTTGTCTTTTCTTTATTAGTTTGTATTATATTACCGTATTGTAATCATTTTTATGAATATTTTTGTGTTGTGGAACAAATCATCTGAGTTTCCATTACTTCTTATGGGGAAATTTGCTTTGATATACAAGGGTTTTGAACATGTTTCCAGAATGAATTATGCTGTCACACCACACGTACTACACCACATACTATACCACATTTTATAAGGGACTCAAGCATCCTTGCATTTTGGTATCCTCAATGGTCCTAGAACCATCACCCATGGATACAGAGAAACACTTATACTTCATTTGTATCTGTGACTTTTAAGTTGAAATTCTTCTGCTGGTAGAAACAGGTATTGAAAGGGAAAGAAGGAGAAATTTTGTATGTATGCATATACAGGATAGTTAATATAGTTGATCTACTGTCTTCTATTTCTTTGCTCAAAGAAACTGTCAATGAGTCCTTGATTGATCAATATTGCATGTCTCTATCTGTTTTCATGAGAAACCACTTTGAAGATATCAATATGTAATACCACAAGCACTATTAATTTCCTACCACTTTGTTTGTAACTCTGTATGGTCTGTACTGTTCTTTTGGTATTTTGTAAAAGGTTGTCTGTCTGTTAATGTTTTCCTCCTTTAATTTTTAAAATAAAAAAAAAGAAACAGGTATTGAAACATTGGAGAGCTTAACATTCACCATATTTATAGGCTTGTTACTTATATATGAATTAAGAACTCAAGGAAATTTTAAATTGGACAATTTAAATACTTGAAAAGGATAGTAAATACATCCCATAGATAAATGCAGCTAAAATATTTTAAGGTTTAACGAACTTCGCAAATAGGACCAAACATAAGCCATGGTCCCTCTTAAAGTGACGTTTAAATTCTGGTCAATTTACAAATAGCAAATCAAACCCAAAAGTTTAGGGAAGATGGACGGGTTTTAAATGTGTACGTTTCTCAACTGAGATCTTAAATCACAAAACTAATGCAAGTTTCTGGATTACCTCTTCTGCAGACAAAAATTTTCAAGGACATTTTTAAAATCAGCAATACTGACAAGATCAAAAGTGAATTCCTAAAGAAAACATTCCCCAAGTTCTTTTTCCCTTCCTCCCCACACGGAGGGCCGCTCTCCCTTCCTGCCTGGCCCCAGCCTTCGTCTGGCCTAAATCAGTCACAGTCCCAGCAGCCCATCTGCCCCATGCATCCTTCCGGGGCTTCCTCTGCCTTCCCTCCACCGCGGTTCCTTAGCGCTTTCAACTGCTGGTACAGGAGGAGCCACATGTGCACCATGTGCCAGTCCTCTTGTTATTCAGAAGCGACTTGTGTAAAGCAGTGTCTATCATGAGATCAAATGCATTTTTCCATAGTATTTCATGATGTCTCCTAAAGAGCAGCATCAGAGCCCGGAACTCGCCTCCCTGAGGCCGTGCAGAAATCCCGATTACTTCCTCAATCTCTTGTAAGAAAACCCGTTTCTTCAGAGACACCAGCCTCATGGCCTCTGACTGTAGCATCCTTGGGTCTTCCTCCTGTTGCCATCTGCCAACCCCCTAGCTTCTTCCTCTCCCTTTTTGAAGACATGGGCACTCGCTTGTGTTCTTCCTCTCCCCAAGACCTTCCAGGCACCCTGGTGACTTCAGTGTTCACGAGGATGCCCTGCCTACCGGCTACCTGGCATCCTTTACCGCCTCCTCCGGGATCTTGTCCTCTATACCCCCCCAGCCACACCCTGGACTCAGTCGTTACCTACGCTTGTCCAGGGTCAAATAACTCACTCAGACTTCCTGCTTCTGATCAGAGCCCACTGATTTCTCTTTCTTCCTCAACCCATTTTTCATCTCCATTCTTTCCAAGCAAACACTTGGTGCTAAGTGGAGCTGCAAGAGACAGGTCTGCAGAGCCCTGGGTTTCTTATTCTCTTAGCACTGTCTAGAGTTTCATACATGGCTCAGACATTTCTAGTTAGACCAGCAGGAGAAGAACTCTGCCTCCTTTTCATAGAGGAAAAGCCAGCCTGGGTGTGGTCTCCCGATGATCTCAATGCAGATGCCAGGGGTGCAGGGGTGATGAGCTGCCCAGCAAAGCTTGGTGGCATCTGGCCCTTTTTTGTGTGGAACTGAAGACTGAACCCAGGGACTTCGCACTGAGCTACAGCCCAGTCTTTTTAAAAAAAATTTTTTTTAATTTTGAGACAAGATCTCTTTAAATTGCCCAGACTAAGCTCAAACTTATGATCCTTCTGCATCAGCCTCCCAGAGTACTGATATTATAGAGATGAGTGCTGGGATGACAGACACATACCACCATGCCCACCCTTTCTTACTCCTTCCAGACCCATTCCTGGGCTTCAAAACCTCCTTGCCAAAAGTGGGTTCAGAGACACAATCTTGTCAGTGTGTTACAGGCAGCTGAGTTAGATAGAACTATTATAGGCAGTCAGATAGGGCCAGGCCCTCAAAGGAGCCAACATGGAAGACAAGATACCTTGTGAATGGAAACCTACTTGCTGTGGGCCAGACCTCAAGAGAAAAGACTAAACAAATGCACCCACATACCTCCCTAGGGATGGACATCAGGGACTGATATTCTAAATAAGTAGCGATCACCTTGAAGAGTCCTTGACCCAACCCCTTACAGGAAAAGCCCGTGTTCTGTATTCGTGCCCGCTTGCTATGTAACTCGCTTCCCCCTTTGATCCCAATTTAATCAGTTTTATCTGAACAGTTATCCTTGTAATCTTATTGGCTGACCATAGTTTTGTCCCGCCTCATGCCCACCTTGTAATTTCCCATTTCCCCCCTATCTTGGACCCACCTGACCTAGTGGTCTTGCTCTGTAAAGTCCCTGGGAAGGGTAAGGTCCCTGGGCAACCCACTCAGGCCCCCTTCTGTCCCTCTCTTGGACAGAAGCTTTCTTTCCCTCAATAAATGTATTCTGCTCTTAACCTCCGTTGTTCCTAAAATTCATTGTTCGATTTTAGAGAACGCGAACTTGTCCCAGACATTGTTCAGGTTGGGAGCTTCTACTTTCCTGTATCAAGTGGAGCTACCAAGCAGTGGGTTGGAAGAGAGGCCTTTATCTCATTCCCAGTGTTCGTAAGTCTTCTCTGTTTTTTGATAGTCTTTTTCCAAATATGAGTCATGGAAAGTGCTATACAAATCGTTTCAAGCCCTCCTGTCCCCAAGTCAAATTGCCTCTTCCAAAGCTCTGCCAAGTGGAAATTCTGCAACCGTAACTCTCTTTCCTTCATGTCCCTGTTTCTCCCGCACAATGAAATCTCACAGCTTGCAGCAGGCTCCTGCGGCCACTGAAGCCTCCACCTCCTCCTCACACCCTTCCAGGGAAGGTCTTCACCTCTTGCTTCACAGGGAAAATTCAAGCCGTCCAAAGAAATCCTGTCCACTCCCCACTCCTGAGCCACCCCCACCCACCTGCCCTCGTGCTCAGCAGAAGAGGGAACCTCACTTCCGAGATGACCTGCGCCCCCTTGGCCAAGCTCAGTGTGGCCTACCATCCCTTCTCTTGCTCATATTTTCCAGCACCTCCCTCAACTGGATTGTTCCTGCCGATATTCACGCACAATCAAATTTTTCACATTTATTTTTTGAAAACTTATCTCTAAAGCCTTTCTGTCTCTCTTTCTATAGCCCAACTAAAGAATCCTCTGCATTTCCTGTGTCTGTCTCCTCTCTACTTACCTGAGCTTCACTGTACTCCCGTCTGCCTCTCACCCCATTGCTCTGTCCAACGGCACTTGCGCAGGCACCCATGACCATTATGTTCCAGGCATTTTTAGCTCCTGGGTTGCTTAACCTGGGAGAGCAGACATCATTGCTAAGCACTCTTTCCTTCAGAACATATTTTCCTCCTTGGCTTCCATGAACACACACATTCTGTTTTCGTTCTCAACTTTCCTTTTCAAGTTTCTTTCTCATTTCCTAAATCAGGTTCCTAGACCTCTTCTCCCTGACTGCTCCCTTCTTAAGGAATCTCATTTTTGCCCACCTACACACCAGCAACTTCCAAATTTAAGCCTCCTGCCCAGATAGCCCATCCGGGTGCCAGACCTTGTTGGCCAACTGCCTACTTGATATATTTGTCCACTAGGGTATCTGGCACCAAACCCATCCAACAAGTCTCAGCCTGAGCTTATGACACTTCGTGCCAACCCTGCTCCTCCTCTGGCACTCTCGCTTTTGACATGTGGCACAACTAACCATTAAGAGTCACTTGCGATGGTCCATAGTCCTCCCGATTTTACCTTCAATCTATTTAATCTTTTATTCCCACAGTCATCCTAACTCAGACTACCTTCACCTCCTGCCTAGGGTACGCACACAGCTTCCCAGTCGGTACCATCTGCTTGGCCCTCTCCATAGCCCTTCTCTGCACTGCATCTACAGCAGCCCCATCTAATTCAAATACATGAAGGGAGCCACACCTGTAATTGAAAATGTTCTAGGCGCTACTTTTTTAAAAAGTAACAAGAAACAAATGAAACTGATTCAAAATACCTTTTATTTAACTTCAAGTATTTTCATTTCAAAGTGCAATCAGTATTTTTAAATTCATGAGAAATTCGATATTCTTTTCCTCACACTAAGTGTTTGAAATGCAGTGTGAGTTTTACGTGCACAGCACAGATCACCAAAACCTTCAATATGTCAAGTGTTCAACAGCTATGCATGGCTAGCAACAGCCATTTTTGGACTGTAGAAATCTAGGACAACCTTTTGGCAATGAAAACCTGATCTTTTACCTGATCTCATGTGCAAAACTCTGCAACGGCCCCCAATTTTTTTCTATAGGATTAGGATTCAAATACTTATTAGCATACCCTGCAAGGCCCTCCCAGGTCTGTGGTGCGACTTCTGCTTGCTTTTCACTGTCTGCGCCACGCTCACCATCTGTGTGCCAGTCACAGTAGTATTATAGCTTCTCAGATACACAGTGCCTTAGTCACCTTCTCATTGTGGGGACAAAATACCCCACTGGGGACTTGGCCTGAGCCCCCAATCTCCTAAAATGACTTACAGCAAAGGCTTAAAAGAGATAAGTAATGTTTTGGGGAAATCCAGGAAGGTCAGAACTCTTTAGTAGCTAAGACAAAGGCTTTTCTGGATCCCCTGTATTTATTTGTTTTTGAAACAGGGGGATATGGAGAAGGGCAGGGCCCACATGAGGCAATAGCTCAGGAAAAGGAGCAGGCCTTGAAAAGTTAGAACAAAGGCAGTAAATCAGGCCAATTAAGAGAACGCTTTGATCTCCGAGGTTGGCAGTTTACTGTTCTGGAATAGGGAGTGTCTGCAGCCCCAGCTGCATCTTATCTAGCCTTCAGAGACTGTGAATAGGAGCGCTTCCAACACTGCCACAGGTGCCTGTGGTCAGCAGTTTAACCCTTAGAGAGCCCGGTCCCCCGCAGTGCCTGACACACAATTTAGAGGAGAGGCTTACACTGGTGCACATTTTCAGTCCATGGTGGCTGGCTCCAAGGCGGAAACAGCGCGGTGGAAGAGCCAGAGAACTTCTCACATCATGGTATGCAGGAAGCAAGGCAAGAAGGGAGGAGCCAGGAGGGAGATGTGGACCTTTCTAGGTCAAAGCCCCAGTGACCCACCTCCAACCAGTCGCCATCTCCTAATGCCACACCGTGATAGTTGACTGATTGTGTCAACGCCCAAGTAGGAAACGCCCAACTGAATTAGATCAGCTAGTTCTGGCGTGGCTCAAGGGATTTACTGAGGACAGAAGACCCACCCTGGGTGTGAGTAACAGCAGTCAGCAGGCTGGTAACCTGAATGAAATAAAAGTGAAAGGAAGAAGAAAGGCTCACTTCTGTTTCTTCAGAGGAGCTCCAGTCTTCACTAACCTTGAAAGTCATTTTCTGGTTTCCGGCACAGACTCTTCAGCCTGCTGGTACAAACTTGCATGGGATATTGCAGTGAGCTCCGGGGCTAGTGTATCCTTTGCAGCTCCAGTGCACAAGCAGCTCTTTTGCACTCTTCTGCACCAGAAGCTGCAGGCAGCCATTGTAAGTCAATCTTGTGATGCCTTCAGGCCATTTCTCTTATTGTCCTGATGCAAAATATTTGGATTTTTTAAGACATAGATCTTTTCAGCAACCATACTCTCCTTTGCTCCGACTTCATTAGCTATTTTTTTCTGGCAAAATTTAAACTTTCAAATGGGCTTTTTGCCCCTGATTTTCAGCATAAACCTGGCTAAAAGCAGCAAATTATGCCACAGGCTGAACATTGGGCTGCCTTGAAATTTTCTCTGCCAGATTAATTAGTCCATGGCCCTTAATATCAGTCTCCCACAAAGTCTCAGGACATGAGCAAAATTTAGATAAATTTTCTACCAAAGCATAAACATATGATCTCAAAATCCAACTGCCAATGGAGTCCTCCTTCCCAGCTGAATCCTCCAGAGCCTTGTTTTTATCATCTTCTTTTTTGTGAGCATTCCGTTCTTCTGAGTGCTAACCAGAGTCTCCCATCAAGTTCAGCTCACACTATTCTAGGGCTTTTCCAGCCTGCATCTCCAAAGCTTTCCATACTCCTTCCCTGAACCAGTTACAAAGGCTTCTTGGAGGAAGGAAGCAGAAATTAATGACCAGTGTAAAGTTTTGCAAATCGAATCCAAAATGAGGAAGAGGGATCAGGAAGTAATTACTCCTACTGAGACCCTGTCTTTAGCTAGGATCTTCGCTGATTGTTCATGTGCTTTTTAATCCTATAACAAATATATGAGGCAGGTACTGTGTGTGTATTAGCCAAGGACACTCTGGAGAATTCAGGAACTTTCCAAACAACATATGTAGGACTGGCACTTACATCTCTTTGATACCAGAGGCCACTCATTTGCCATGCTTCATAATTTTGTTATTTAATTCAGCATAAACAAACACTCAAATAAGAAAAATGGCTGCATTTTTGTAGTATATTCCCCTTCTCTGGCAAGTTTTCTTTATATAAATGTTACCAAAAACACTGCATAACTAAAGTATGACTTCCTCGTTTGAGGATCTTAAGCAAAAACAAACCTTGCCAGAAACAGTGTCATTTATTAAGTTTAAGAAGGAAGTCAAATGGTGATGGAACAGTGGCTCAAGCATAGGATACCACTCCAGTACCAGCTGACTTTGCTTCCTGTTTAAATCAGGTCTGCACATAATATGCTCAGCAGGATGTTGGGCACACAGAGGAGCTCAATGATTGCACGCTAGCATCATCATTATCACCATTCTCAGCCTATAGCAAAGTGAGAAAGCTTCATTGCAGCTTTTCCTTTTTCCCTGCATACACAGTAAAGTGCAGTATCTTTAAAATGCACTACAGTAGCTCTAAAGGATTTGCTATGAGCCACTGCCATAAATCAGCCTCCGGCTTGACTGAAGGTGACCTCAGATGTGGCCCATGTGCCATAGATCCAAGTTGTGCTGAGTGAGTTCCAGGACCCAGCACAACCCAGGTATGTTCATCCTCCACAAAAGGATGGGAGCAATGTAGCTGACTCAGAAGTGCAAGTGCTTCAGCTAGACAGACTTGGGTTCAAATCTCACCTCTTCCACACGGTAGCTTTATTACTAAGCCTACCACAAGACACAATTTTCAACTCTGTTAAACAGGAATAATTTTTACCCAGAACCTGACAAATGTTCAGAGGTACCTGTTATTTTCCAGAAGAGCCTTAGGGTTCAAACTATGGAATTTAGTTCATCTCAAATTTGCAAATCGTCCAATGAGCCCAACTGAGTTGTTGATGGATTAGGATGAAAATCAGGAACATTATTTCTGGGAGAAAGGTACCTCGTATAGTTACTTGCTCCGCTTACGGTCAAACTTCTAGTTGCTGACTCAAGCAACCACTGCTTTAAATAGATTAAAACCCACAGAATCTGTTGAGATAAATGATAGCATTTCCATGTGTGTTAGTCAGCTACCCGTGGCCATGATAAAATACCTAAGAAAATCAACTTAAAAGGGAATAATTTATTTTTGCTCGAGGTTTCGTCCATCATCACTTGGCTCCATTCTTTTGGACCTGTGGTGAGGCAGAGCATCATGGCAGGGAACATGTGGTGGAGCCAACCTGCTTACACCATGGTGGCAGGGAAGCAAAGTAGAGAAAAAGAATAAAACCTACCTTTCAAAGGCACCCACAACAACTTCTGTCCTACAGCTAGGTTTATACCTCCTAAGGTTTACACCACCTTCCTGCTGCCCATTAAGCTATGCAGCCACCAATGGGTTAATCCACTCATGAGGTCAGGGCCTTCATGGTCCATTAATTCCCTGAAGTCCCACCTCTGACTACAACTGTTATGGCAAAAATTCGGGCTGTATTCTGTAAGAGACCAAAGAGAACAGACAAAGTTTTAATATAGACCAGTCACCTCTCATCCTGACTTGCAAGTCAGGGAAGTGGGTGTGGACCTGCCTTTGTTCCCAGCTTATATACTTTTGGTTTCCATGGTTATAGATTGGAATGTTGTAGCCCTGGCCACATGTTGTTTTCCTTGTGCCATCTAACCGGGTCAGGCTGCAGTCATGAGCCCAACCACAATGATATATACTTTCTATACTCTGTTCTATATGTCCCTCTTTAGATAACCATACATTTCTTTTATGGTTACAATGTTTATCTAGGGCCAGGGAAGGGATGAAACAACCCAGGCAGGGTCATAGGTGGTTATCTGGGCCCTGGTGTTCTTTGTCTTTGGAGAAGCATTCCAGGGCTAAGTCAGGACTGCAAAGTTAACTCTTCACAACCCTCCGGGATGTTTCTCAAGACACATTTTGAGACTTGCATTAAGACTAGAATTATTCTATCTTAAAATGATATGCTAAGAGTCATCATCCCCTACACAGCCTCCACATCTTTGAGGGGCATTCTACATCCAAACCACAATGCCAGGTACATGGGGGAGGGCAGAGCATCCCCACACCAACCTTGAGCAGGTCATGGGTGCAATGGGGGCTTAGACCACCCTTACTGTAGCAGCCTGGTCAACTGCCCGGATTGAATTTTTGAAGGCTGTGACCTCCTACCTCTTGTTTGCTTTGATAGAGAATGCACTAAAGTGATTTCAAAACATTTCTAACAACACAAAGGTTAAAAAAGAATTGGTCTAGCAGAGTAAGTATGAATGGGGATTCTGGGCCATCTTGCCAACTGTATGATCTTGACCAAGTGATCATCTCTGTAGAATGAACTTCATAAGGTCCTTGTGAAAAGTGTATAACGGCATGTAAAGCACAAACAGCGCCTCACATTTGTAAGTGCTAGATAGGAGTTAGTTTGTAAGGAACGCCAAATGAATGTATATATTCATTTTATGGAAAATCAAGTGGGAATACAAAGCTCCTGTCAGTCTCAGGCATATGAATCCAGTAATAGTAAAATAATATGTTGCCAAAAGTATGTAATTATGAGGTGAAATGAGATAAGAAAGGAGAAATACAGGTCAGTTGAGAGAGGAATTTTAGACACATGAAACCGTAGTACTTCAAATCTGTGTTGGCAAAGAATAAAAATTGAGAGAAAATTAAACAATGTGAATGGCTGTAGCTATCTGGATTGACTTTTTTTCCCTCCACCTTTTCCTTTGTTTCTAAGATTATAATCCAACTGTCAGGAAAATCACAAGATAACAACTGCCACTCAGAAAATCAGGTCTCGGGGGTGGGGATTTAGCTCAGTGGTACAGCGGCTGCCTGGCAAGCGCAAGGTCATGAGTTTGATTCCCGGTACGGGAGGAAAAAAAAAAAAGAAATCAGGTCTCACACCTGCCCTGTCTGTAGCAGCCCTCTGAGGGCACAATGCCTGATGGAGGCTGTCTATGAGCTCATGGTGCTTTCCATGCTGTTAACTAGACAGGCTCTGTGAAGAAAGAGATATTCCTTGAGGTTCCCAGAAAGGACCAACTGGTTACAATTTCTTTATGGAAATTGTGCCATAGAAAGTGCTTGCTAGGATTAGTAAACCTCTCTGGTTAAAAAGGGAAATACAATAAGAAAGGTAAGCCAGACGTGATGCATGCCTATGATCGCAGCACTCGGAGAGGCTAAGGTGGGAGAATCACCAAGTTTGAGCTCAGCCTGAGCAACATAGAGAGACTCTGTCTTGAAGATAAATAAATATCAATTCCTGGTACAGATACACAAATAAATAAATAAATAAATAAATGGGTGCATATGGAGCTCAGTGCAAAGGCCCTGGATTCTATCCTTGGTACTGAAAAAAATGAATGAATGAGTAATACTCGGCTTCATGCAGTCACACTTTAATATGAATGGGGTCGGTCGTGTTGTTTTCTTCTCACCCACCAGATGAGCTCAGTTCTCCTCAGGAAATGGAGGTATTGGTGGCGTAGCTGAAGCAAAAGATATTGCCTCACACAGACTCAGTGGGAACATACAGGGAAAGTTCTGGGAGGGGTGGGAATCCCCTCAGACATGGAAACAGAGCACAGAGAAGGGGGAAAGGCCAGGGAAGGTATGGAGAGAGTCCACAAATGAAGCAATCTGTGGGGCTGTTTTTGCCTCTCTCTAAGGGAGGGCTCTAGGCCCAATCTGCAGAGCTAACAATATAGGCTCACTTCCCTCTCAGAGGACAGGAGACACAGTACATGGCTCGGGAAGCACAAGGGTATTTCTCCCTTTTCCAAGAATATGGGACAGCTGTAGGGAGCAGCTGAAGCTGGAAATTGGTCACGTGTGTAGGGGGCAAGACAAGGACAAAGTGCCTAAAGCAATCAAGCTATCTCAGTCCTGAGAAAAACATCTTGCCTGAGAAAATTCCAGTCATTAGTCACTAGGCAACCCTGTGTTAGTGACACTAAGTTTGTCAGAAGTACAAATAAAAGCCCCTACTGTGCTTGTTCAGTTCCTCTTCTCCCATCTGGAAGGAGGACTCCACCTGACCTCAGCTTTCACCTTGTGTCTTTATTTTCTAAATCACCTGGCCGTTTTTCCCTGGGACCAGCAAGAGCTGCATGGGACACAACAGACAGCTCTGCTGAGAGCTTGCTCTGGCACACAGGGACACATGGAAAGATTTGCTCTGTATGAACCTCAGAAAGTTGTTTAACTGAGCCAAGGCACTGTGTCAGGACCTGGCGAGTGCTAACCCTGTCCTCCCAGGCCATCAGGGAGCAGTGACATGAAAAAAATTTCTCTCTTGCATAATGCACTTCACAGAAATGTCAATTTTAGGAAGTGAAAATGACAGCTGTGGGTGAGCTGAACTTCCTACAGTATTAAAATTGCCACATGCTTGGTTCTTTGCCACTGCTGACCCTACATCCCCAGGAGCCTGGCTAGCAAGGAAGTGTTGCAGAGGGAGAGGGTGAAGGAACTCCTAAGGCTCTGGTTTCAGTCACTAGGTGTTTATTTATTGCTCCCCTCTGTCAGGCACGGTGGGAACTGCTGGGGACAAGAGCAAGAGAGGCAGGGTCTCTGCTCCTGAGAAGTTCACAGTGTAGTGGGGAATCTGTGGAACCAGGAATGCCAGGGGAATCACATGCACCCACACATGAGGTGGGAAGCTCTCAGCATCCCCAGGAAGGAATGAGGATTCCCCAATCACGCTGAGACCAGAAAGGCCAGGAAGAGGTGCAGTCAGGAGCTGAACTTCAGACACCTAACTCCAGAGCCTGTGTTCTTCCTGTCAGCTACATTCAGTATTTGCCATGTGTCTGCTGCCAGGGCAAGAGTTTAAGTAACAACTGAAATCCTGTCAGAGTGTCCTTCCTACAAAGGGTGAAAAACTGCACCAATAGGTGTATTTACCAAGAACAGCGGAGTAGAAGCCACAGGAAATCGTCCTCTCATGGCTCTGAGGCAGACAGTCTTCAACAAATCAGTCAATGACCTGGGCCATGGTGTCTTGGGAATGTTACCTTTTTTAGGAGTTGTTTTAACAGACTAAATTAGGCAGTGGAAATCCCAGATGCAGCATCTCAGGAAGACGTGATTAAAAACCACTACATGGCCAGAGTGGTGGAGCTCACGTCGCAGCTGCAGCTGGCTGACAGTGAGTCGGTGCACTTCTAGGCCAAGCGCCAAGCACTCTCTAAAAGACTAGCGCTGGCTGGGAAGTCTAAGGAGACGCTGACGGAGGAGATGAAACTTGCCAGTCAGAGCATCAGCAGGCTGCAGGATGAGCTGACCACCACCAAGAGGAGCTACGAGGACCAGCTGAGCATGATGAGCGACCACCTGTGCAGTATGCACGAGACGCTGTCTGAACAGAGAGAGGAGATCCACACCCTGAAGATGTCCAGCAAGGGAAATTCTAAAAAGAACAAGAGTCGACAGTTTACAAATAACTGCTTGGAGACCGATCCTTCCAGAGTTGCTGCGGCTGCTGTCCAGAGCTGCAGGCCCTGCCGTGCCCAGCGCGCAGCTTCAGGAAGCCGAGGCGTTGTCATCAGTCCCAGAAAACCCGCAGTGTTGTACATGGCCCCGAGGCATTTAAATGGATTTGTAACCAGTAAGGCAGATACAGAATGGGATGTTGACAGTAAAGTGGAAAACATTACATACACCATCGATATTGTAGGTTTCCTTAAGCTGTTTTTACCGTGCACTTTTTAAAATTAGGTTTTAATTTCAGTATGCAAGTCTGAAAAATATTTTGTATATTTTCAAACTCAAATATATGGTAATCGATTTGTTATCTACGGAATAGATATATGTTTCGGGATAAATGCTTAAAGTGTCAAACTGTTGTTACTTCTTACTGTTGAAGAAGTCTTCAGATTCTTTTTTAAAGATCTGTGCATATTCCTCCTTCCCCTCCCCCCTCTCTTCCTCCTCCCCCTCCCCCTC